TATGTGTGTGTGTGTTATTTTATTAACACAAAAAAAAGTCTACTTCGCCACCTACTGGCCCACGATGTAATCTAAAGAAAGAATCAGTGAACAATTCGGATTCAAAAGGTTCGAGTCACTTTAGTGAATCAAATGTCCAGACTCTGTCGAAGAAAAAGGGATGCTGGTTCTTGTAGTCCTTTATAATGGCTCTGGTTAGAGATGGGAGAGTTACCCTAAGACAGTGTGTAAAATATTACTATTAAAATATGTATTATGAAAATCCTAAATTCCAAATCCAATGCTTATTAAGTTAATTAAATTTTAATTGCAAATGGATGAAAAACTGGCATCTTATTAAACTCTTCCGGGTTAATGGGGGGGGGGGGTTTAGAAAATGTTAAGAGATAGAGGAAATGTTTCTGATCCAAGCTACCTGATGATGGCAGTAATGCACTGTTAAGTGCGGTTGCCAGTAAAAGAAAGAAGAAGAAGAAGAAGAAGAAGAACTCTTCCGGGTTACGTTGGACAGTATGGCTGAAGAAAATAGCTCGCTGGATATTTGGCCAGAAATTGAAAAGGCAGAAAAGGAGAATAGGCGTGAGCTGGTGCTTCAGGGTTCAGCAGTTGACAAAAAGATCCAGAGCAGCGGCGGACTTCACGCGGGACTTTATTCCCTTTCGCTCCTAAACTACCTGGAGATCAGTCAATGTCCCAGTTTACATGAGATCCACGAGAACATCAGACATCTGTCTCATCTACAGAGTCTGATCCTCTGCAGGAACAAGCTCACTGCAGTCCCAAAAAGCATTGGCGATCTGAAGGCGATCAAAGTCCTGGATTTGTCTGTCAACCAGCTGCAGGCTTTGCCCGAGGAGATCTGTGCACTGAGCGAACTCAACACTTTAAATGTCAGCTGCAACAGCATCACTGCTCTGCCGGATGGTCTGAGCAAGTGTGTGAAGCTCGCCAGCATCAACGTGTCCAAAAATGCTCTCTCTCGGCTCCCAGATGACTTATGGTGCTCCAACCTGGAGCTCCTCAGCACCATCATTGCATCAGAAAACGCGATAGAGGAGCTGAGCAGTGAGGTTCATAACCTGCCTGCCCTGAAGGTGCGTTTCATGACAAAATCTAATAGTGAAATCCACCTGAATTTATACTGTATTTGAACTGAATATGTGCAATGGTTTAATGAATGCAAATTTTCAATCAGTTGATTTTTAAAGTAATTCCGAGTGGTGTTGGTGTATCATGTACTCACAATTTATTTGTATTAGTAGTACTATATTCTAATGATTGTAGGTGGTATACTATGTATTTAAATAAAATATTATTATTATTATTATGTGGAAATATTGAAATCTGTTTTTTGTAATGTAATTTTTTTAATTAAATAAATATTTTTTATAAATAAAAAATAATTTATAATTAAAAAAATTGAATTAAATTAGAGAAGCATTTCTCTAATGGAAGCATTTCTTTATTTCTGTCAGACTTTTAGAGCATTATAACTTAAGTACAGTGATTAAATATCAGTTATAATAGTTGTGATTTTTAAAAGTAATTCTAAAGATTGTAGGTGGTGTATTATGTACTTAAAATATTATACAAATTTTTATTATTATTATTATTTGAGAATGTTTTAATAGTTTTTAATGTGATTTTTATGCTGCTAATAGGCCTATAATTAACTAATGCTTTTTTATGCTGAAAAAATAATAATAATTATTATTATTATTAAATTAGAAAGAATTGCTAAATGAAAGCATTACACTATTGGTCTCAGACCTTTGGACCTTTTTGAATTTAATAAGTACAATGGTTCAATAAATATACATTTGAATCAGTTGTGGTTTTTAAGTAATTCTAAAGATTGTAGGTGGTGTATTATGTACTTAAAATATAGTTGTTAAAATGTATTTTATCACTGTGATATATAATACATCACTTACAATATTTACAATTACTTTTTCAAATCATAACTGATTGATTGAAATACAGGACATCACTTTATATTAATATGCATTGATAATATTTGAAAAGCCTTCCAGCATTTTCTCATGCATCTCACTCTCTGCCATCTCAGGTTTTGGATCTCTCCAGCAACAAGCTTCAGGAGCTTCCATCTGAGTTGGCCGACTGCCCCAAGCTGAAAGAGACCAATTTTAAAGGGAACAAGCTGAAGGACAAGAGGCTTGAGAAGATGGTGAACGGCTGCCAAACCAAATCAGTCCTAGACTACCTGAGGGCAGGGGGGAGGGGGAAAGGGAAAGGCAAGCAACAAGATGGAGAGGTGAGCGAGAAGCTTGACTGTGGCCGTAACATCTCAAAGAAGAAAGGCAGTGCAAAGCAGAAAGGCAAAAAAGAGGCAGAGGATGTGGATGAACTTAATCGGATGGTTGTGAGAGTTCTGCATGTATCCAAAGCGCCCACGGCTGTTACAGTCAAAGTTTCTGCAGGCGTCAAGGATGTCCGGCCATACATTGTGTGCTGCATTGTAAAAGGCATGAACCTCAGACAAGGAAATGCACTCAAGCGATTTCTAGTTGCTCAGGTGACACAAGTTTCAGCAAATATCTCAGCCATCAAAACTCTTGTGTTCTGTCTTTTTAAACTGATTTTATATAAGCTTATATAAATGTCAGAGTATTCTGTCTGCAGACCAAACTTCACGATGAGATTTGTGCCAAAAGGACAACGGCAACCATCGCAACTCATGACCTGGGCTTGCTGAAGGTTCCTCTGTTGTATGATGCCAGGCCACGAGATACACTGAAGGTATGGGAGGAGGTTTCTCAAATATTATGGTTTATATATGTACTTAGTATTATTTTTATAATAAATCCTCAATTCAACACAATTAAAAAGTCTTGCTCTTTCACAGTCATAATTGTCCCTGTAGTTTATTACGTAACTCATCAATCAGAGCATCTCTACAAGTTGCATAACAGACAAACAATGCAGAACGATGAATATTTAATAACCGTTGTTGATGCAGTTTTCATGAATGAGGGGAATCTGGTTTCAAAGCCACCAGCTGACTAATGACACTAAGTCCCATAATCCTCAGATTTTAATAATGAATGAACAGTCCTTTTTCTCGCTGTTGTTTCTTTTGTGTTGACAGTGAATTCGGCACCTCTCTAAGAGGCCACAGGCAGTAGGACAATAGGATGTGTTACATTGCTTAATTCTCATAATTGATGGTTTCATTTATACACCAGAGAACAGGTTTAAGCAATAAGCGAAGATATATTTTATGCTATATTGTGAATATAGTGACAGAAAACCTTCAGCTGACTATACTAACAATATATCCGATCAATAATAATAATAATAATTTCCTTGAGTGCTTTATTGTGTTAATAAAAAAAATTACACAAATTTTCAATAAAATATTGCCGCCACATGAAAACATACCTACTGCAGAGTAATATATATATTTGTTTTATAACGAAAAATGTATCATATTTTCAATGTGTGTAGATAGTTCCTCTGGGTCGTAAGGAGATGAGGGCAGCTGAACTGCTGGAGCTGCTTCAACAGGAAGCAGATGAACTGAGAAAACAGAAAAAACGACAGAACGTTTCAGGACTCCACAAGTAAGACAATGCACATTAAATACCTGATTATATAATATTAGTAGTGGCAAATATTAAATATTATAATGACTTGTCTACAGTATAGTTTGGAAATGTGGAGGGCACAATCTGTCAAGCAAATGAATAGTTTTGTGCAAAACATATTAATCTAACATCATTTCCAATGCAAATGGGCTATGTCATGCCCTCAATGTTTACTATCTACGCCCTTTTTAAATGATCTGAAAAATATGCCTCGTTTGTCAGACACCTATCGTGTTGTTGTGGGTAATTGGTGTAATTTCATCCATGTAATCGCACTGACTGCACAGAACACTAAGTACAAATACTGAACTGTGACACTGATCATTAATTCATTATTCAGTGTTTCATGGACGTATTCACAACTTTTAATTCTTCAACCCAGATACCTTCAACTCCTTGATGGGAAAGATCTTTACCCCTGCTTGGTTGACGCAGAGGATCATGTGGTCTCGTTCCCACCAATCACAAACAGCGAGAGGACAAAGGTAATCTATGCAAATTAAGTGAAGTATGCAGAGGTTATTTCAGGTCTTGATGATGAAGGTGGATGGCATAATCAACTCGACTGATTTTATGGCGTTATATGTTTTTTTTTAATGACATTTATTATTTCTTTATCCAAAAGGACACTGAAAGCATGTCATGACAAAAATAAAATACAATATTAAAGCATGTGAAGCAGTAATTTCATATTCATACATTCTTGTTAATGCATATGTTTATTTTTTATTTTTATTTTTTTTCACATTTAAAAGAAAAATTACTATGACAATTTTTTATAATTATTTTTATTATTATTATTATTATTTTATAATTATTCCTGTTATTATAATTATTTTTGCCAAACATGCAAACAATCTGTCTCTGCAGATAAAGAGGTCCACACAAGAGCTGTTTTTAGAGGTGACGAGCTCCACCAGTCTACAGATCTGTAAAGATGTCATGGACGCACTGATAATAGTAAGATATTACTAGTGTTTTGTTTATTAACTTAAATGATTTTAGCAAATGGCTGCAATATAACAAAGAGTGAAAAATTTAAGGGGGTCTGAATACTTTCCGTACCCACTGTATATATATAAAATATTTATATATATATTTTTTTAAAATATATTTAATTTTGCGTTTTGTGTTTATTTACTTATGAATCAAATATAAATTGTATGAAAAATCACAACTAAATCATTCCATTATCAATATCAATCCAGCAGTATCTGTACTAGAGATGGGTAGGATTGTCAATTTTTTTGTGTTTTTGTTTGTTTGTTTTTGGCTGGTTTTTGATTTCATATTGATTTGTACTAGTATTGCTATGCTGTAAATAATGTATAATATTTTATATGAGCTATCTGACTTGCTCTACAGTGAGGGCACTGATTTGAGTCTGCGCTGTAAGAGTGCAGGATTGGATTAGCGCTATTTGACTGCTTTTGAACGCTGATACCTTTGTGGAAGAAATGAGCTCATCTTTCTACACACACACACACACACACACATTTGGTGTACAGTGTCTCGGAGGCATTGCACCATCACATAATACAAGTGCAATTCAAGAGCCCCTGACTGCTGCTGATTTTATTAGTCAAGTTGTTTGTTTGGTTTAATTAATGTTCCTAATTTATAGCAAAAAGTTTTTTTTTTTAATCCTATTTTTGCCATTAGAAAAAAAAAAGTACCTGATGTGATGGAAAACCGTGAAATGTGACAAGGAAGATAAAACCGAGGAAATGGCTTAGATTGCAGCTGTGAGATTTTCTCCGTGATACAAATGACCTGTCCCACTTTCACGCATTCTTCTTTTACGACAGCTCAGATAACTACTAAATATTTAACTATAAAAGACAATCTGAATAATCAGTGCTGTTAAATAGTTATCAAGCTGGGTTATTGCATTCAGTTTATCAGCATTTATCAATTATGCTATTACTAAGTACCAAGACTATTGAAATGCATTTGTTTTCACATAGTTACCCTCATTCAAAGGCATTTATACAAGCTTTTTACTTCATTGTGGTTAGTAGCTTTTATCAAGCTATGAATGTTCACAGTGAAAAACAGCATCCATGTTTATTAGTGTAGTATTCATACATTTTCTCTAACTATTCTTGTTTCTATTTCAGAAAATGGCAGAGCTTAATAAATTAACCTTTCATGTAAAGGAGGATGTGGGCTCGGATGAAGAGACGGATGTGATTTCAGATCATCCCGCAGAGGACCCGGCCTCCCCTGAGCTGACCGTAGTACAAGTGAAGGTAGTGGATGTAGATGGAAACCTTAAAGTGGTCTACCCATCAAAAACTGACCTGATGTCTGACGCCAGCAATCTAACAGTCATCCGATAACAAAATTCAACTGTTGGTTTTCTGTCTAATTTTGTAATGCATTTACCTCACTAGTTTTCTCTGTTATCAAATTAAAACGGCTATTAAAACATGAATTCAAATATTCGATTTAGTGGTTCTCATTTACACTCCTGCCTTTTGTATGGAAACCCGTTTCCACCTTAGTTTAAAAAAATGATTTTATGACTTTTGAATATGACATTATATCTCACAAAGTGATTTTAGACACTTTTTTTCGTTATACTTCTGAATTTCATTGCATTTTATGAAATAAAATTATATACTGTGAATATTATACCTTGTTCAAGATTTTGTGTTTATGGAACACATCTGTACTTCTAATATAATTAATATTTAGTTACTTTGTCCTAGTCCGTAAAATAAACTTCACCTTTTTCGTAGACTTCCCCTGTTTTGCTGAATCTCTCCATTGGGTGAGCTATAGAATTATACAGTCAAATCTTCCTCTATCAAGTTTACACCCTTGAGCAAGGTTTTTCATCTCAGGTTGACTCTGGATGGAAATCGTCTGCATCATCAAAACTAGTAGTTTAGTAGTTCATAATTCAGTTTATAGTAAGTTTAGGTTAGCATTAACTATTTCTAAAATGCACATCTTCAGACATTTTTAGTGAAGTGACAGTAGCATTGTTTGCATCCTGTGTTTGTTTGTGCCTGTCGAGCACATGAATGCTCCGGGTTTGGTTACAGATCAGATGACTGGCCGACTCAGGAAATATAAAGAGGAGGAGAGTAAGTCTGGAGCTGTCTATAAGAGATGCAAGCAGGACACTGTCTCTCAGGGACAGTCCATCATGCTACATGACATTGACAGTTGTCCATTTTGCTCTTATTAAAAAGTTATGAAAATGACCCAGAGGAATGACATTTGGGACCACAGGACAAGATGGAAGAATGGCTCTAACAAAACTCTTAACATTCAGGAGAATTTCCATATGCTTGAGACTTCCAGTCCATCTGTGCCCATCTGTCTGGAGTTGATTGGAACAAAGGGATCCTACCATTTATCATCAGGGTGGAAACTGGCTGGAAATGGTAAAGATCAAACCTTCAAACCTCGGAATGTTTTAATGCCGAAGGGGAATGATGGCAGGACTTTGGCAAAGAGTAGCTCACTGCCTCCAATATACAGCCCAAGATTATCCAACAATTTCATGTCTAGTGCAAAAACCTGTGTGCCAAGCTGGGGAGTAGAATGTCAGGAGAAGAAAACCAATATTTTGTCCACCAGCGCAAGGATGGACAAGGCATTGTTCAGCAGGCAAAAGCAGGGATGTCAGATGATCTACAATGAACTGGCTGTTTTTAATGACAGGCTGCAGGTTCAAGACCTGAGACAGGACAGCTTGAAGATCTCTGATGCATCAGCAAGGCAGCCACAGGATGGACTTCTGGATGTAGAGCCCAGTAACGTCAGTGCCAAAAACAGAGAAGTGACGACAGAAAGGATGAAGGATTCCGCGAGTGTATCTAAGGACAGACCTGCGCAGCCATTCTCTGATTCAGCTATTGAGATGGAAAATGAAAATGAAATTATGGACAATCAGGAGGACGAGTATTACACTAACCAAAGGATCGCGGCATGGATTGTCAAAGTAAATGCAAGCTTGTTTTCTCCATCAAAAGATGAGATTATTGACCAAATACTAGAAGAGCAGGATGTGGATACTATTAAAATCATCTATGACCAGGACTGATGTCAAATGTAATGGTAATTGTAAACAGTGTAAAATAATGTTCAGCTTTAGTTAATGCATTAGGTGTTGTGTTCATTCATGCCACACTGCCATTCCAAATTTTGGGTTGGTAAGATTTTTTAATGTTTTAAAAGTCCCTTACACCAAGGCTGCATTTATTTATACAAATACAGCAAAAACAGTAATATTGTGGAATAGTATTACAATTTAAAATAACTTTTATATTTTAATATATATAAAAAATATAATTTATTCTTGTGATGAATTTTCAGCAGCCATTACTTCAATCTTCAGTGTCACATGATCCTTCAGAAATTATTCAAGTATGTTGATTTGGTGCTCAAGAAACATTTGATATTATTATCAAAGATTAATAAAAGCTGCTGCAAAAGTGTTCCTTGTTAGTTCGTGATAATGCATTAAAGCTAAAAACCTAATTGTAAAGGGTTTACTGTAAATTTTTATAACTTCATAATTGTAGTTTTGCTATAATAGCAAATTATAGGCTATGTGTTGTAATCGCTAATGCACTTCTGGATATGAGATTGTCACTGACATTCAAATATAAGATCAAATAAAATCTGGTCTGCTTTTGATTGAAGGATTTTATTTGTTAACATTTAAGTGGTTAAGATACTAAGTTAAAATAAATGTAATATATTTGTCTGTGTACATTTTAAAACATATTTTATACATGTTGGTACTATAATAAACAGCAAAAAACAAGGTATTTCTTTGATGGACATAATGTTTCATATAACAGCCAGTTCCTTCAAATAGTGTCCTTGTCAGCATCGGTGAACCTAGTATCCTGTGATGTATCCAACAATGTATATAACTTCCATCACGGTCAAAGATGTTGTCCCTTTCATCACAATGCCCAGCCGCCCGGTGCACAGTCTGTTATAGAGACTATATGGGTACAGACATGACTGACATGATTTACTCCAATAATAACTTATGAATATTTGCTTTTAAACTGTTTATTTTTCAGTTATATGAAATATATAGAGTAGATTCTCACCCAATGAGTCTGGACTGTGAATGCGGCACTTGCATGTTCATGTTGTCTTCATTCCAGCGGTTGTATTGAACACTGGTCTCACTCGATTCCATTTCCCTCCAGCTCTCTGCTCCTCAGTCAGCTACAAAGCCAACACCAATAAAAAGGAGGAACTACTTGCAAATTATTTAAACAAAAGCTTATCCTGCTACTTGTCACTCCAAGAAAGTGTCTTTTGCAGAGCTTAGTAACAGAAAAAGCTATATACTTTCCGGTTATGTGTCTTGGAAAGTGAATCATTCGGCAGTTCAGTACTCCATAATAAAGGAAAGTTAATGAATAAGATAAAGCAGTTAGTGACTGAAGTCCAGTGTACATAGTATATACAGCTGCTAGATTTTGTATTCATATTAAATATTTCACTCTTAAATTGTTAAAGTTGTTTTTCCCAATTAAGTTTGTACTGCATCACAATAATATAGTATGTTACAATTAAATAAGGTATAGATTAAATGACTATTATGATGATTTTCTAGCTTTATTTGCAAATCTGTCACGAATCAAAGCATAATTTGAATACTTACAGTTCTCTGGACATCAGCTGGTAAATCAATCAAATCCTTGGTCTCTGACACTGCTTATGTATGTCATTTCTAAAGAGCAGCGGGTCCATGAGTTCATTCAGGTAAACCTTTGCTTACAGCCTGTCATAAATGAAATCCCTGAACTACCTGCTGTGCTGGTTAAATAAAAATAAACTGCTTGTCAGGTTCCGAGTTAAGTGGGCTTAGTATTACTAAGTATGAATAAATAAATATTTCACAAACAGCTTTAAATAAATAAATAATCAAATGAGATTTTATGAAATATCTGGAGAAATGGACACACGTCCGTTAACAGTCAGTTAGTGCCGTTCCTTAATGTTAATTGTCTATATTTCTCACCTGCCAGTTGTAGTTTGCTCAGAAAGGTATTTATTTTGCACCAAAATAAGTTCTTTCACCTGTTGTCATTCAGTTTATTTGAGATCTTTTGTCTTACTACCAACTTACTTTCTGCATATAATTAGATGCAAAATTCAGACCATTGTTCTGTGCCATTTTCTACTGTAAGTTAAAAGTGACATTATGCTTTGTTGTTGCATTCCTCCACTCCGGGAGGTGACAGTAGACATATAGCCACATAAGGCTGCTGTTCTCCTACAGATTACAGAAGAAAAGTGTAAACATCCTTAGAGGGGGGATATAGCCTACTGTGTTGTTTTATTAAATGTTTGTTTAAATACTGTTTATCCGTGGATGACAGACATTTTCCCAATAATCGACTTATAGTATTTTTTTTTCGTAGAGAACGTTTTAACTTTTTTTTTCTGAATACAACACTACCACACGTATTCTGGAGCAACCAAGCTTGATCGCTGATGGTTTATAAGCGAGACGCTCCTTTTTTCGTTAAAAGTTGTCGCATCTATTTTTGGCAACTTCACTATGGCCACTCTGACGAGGCAGGACCTTAATTTTGGGCAGGGTAACTTTCAGTTCATTTGTTAATGTAGTGCACTGTACAGCTTTCAAATAACCCCTTTGTGAGTATTCTGATTATATTGGTCATTTGCAGTTGTTGCTGACATTCTGTGTGAGTTTTTGGAAGTGGCCATTCACCTCATTCTCTATGTCAGAGATGTTTATCCATCTGGTATCTTTCAGAAAAGGAAGAAATACAACGTACCTTTGCAGGTAATGTTTTTAAGATTGATGTTAACACTGTAATGCAGCAGTAACATAATGCATTACTGCTTGGCTTATTCATCATGGAGCGGGAAAAGAGAAATAGAGCGAAAATGTTGTTGAAGTTCCTGTATTTAGGAGCCGAAAGGTAGTGTTGAATGGAAGTGATGATTTAAACACTTATATTTACTGTCTTTGACAGATGTCATGCCATCCAGATTTAAATCAGTACATTCAAGACACGCTGCATTGTGTCAAGCCAGTGATAGAGAAGGTAAGGTTTTTATTTCATATTCGATGAATGTACATATTTGAAATAAAAACAGGCTGAACAATATAATAACATTCGTTTCCATCTCTACTGTGCAGAATGAGGCTGAGAAGGTTGTAGTGGTGATCATGGATAAAGAGCACCGTCCAGTGGAGAGATTTGTATTTGAGATCTCACAGCCTCCACTGCTGTCCATCAGGTGAGTGACAGTGGGTTCAGAGTTGTTAAATCAAGGTTAAAGTTGTGCATCTTTCTCATATGTGTGTGTTGGGTTTCGCTGTGTCAGCTCAGAGACTCTGCTGTCTCATGTGGAACAGCTGCTGAGAGCGGTTATCCTAAAGATCAGTGTGTGTGACGCTGTTCTAGACAACAATCCTCCAGGTAGGAGCTCAGCTTTTACATAATTACTGATCTAAAATAGCCCTGATAATGACCTCAAATTTATTAAACAAAGTTTGAATAGATTTACATTTAAAATGTGCATTTTCTTTTACTCTGCAGGATGCACATTCACAGTGCTTGTACACACCAGGGAAGCTGCCACAAGAAACATGGAGAAAGTTCAGGTCATCAAGGTGTGCTGAAACAGTTGTACATTTTAAACCTTTTAATTGTCTTTAATTGTAAAAGTGAACTTGCTAGAGATCCTGAGAAACCAAAACTTTTTCTCAAACTTTAATCAAAAAGACAATCTACATGCAAACCTGGTGTGAAGTCTTTTGTGATTATTTTTGTTGTTTTGTTGTTTTGGCTAGATAATATGAACTAACTCACTGCTGAGTCTATAGGATTTCATTTCTTGTATTCATGTTGTTCTTTCACTAAAGGAATATTTCACCAAAAAAATAAAATTCTGTCATTATTTTCTCACCCTCATGACATTCCAAACCCGTATGACTTACTTTCTTCTATAGAACGTAAAAGATATTTTGAGATGTACCATTGTATTCTTTGTCCATATAATAGAAGAACTGTTTGGTGACCAGAATTCTTTGAAATACCTTTTGTGTTCTGCAAAAGAAGAAAATGCATTCAAGTTTCAAACTACACGAGGATTCATTTTTGCGTTAACTATCCCTTTAAATTTCTAATCTCTGCAGATTCTTGTTTTATCGGTTTTATGTGTATTTTACAGGATTTTCCATGGATTGTAGCAGATGACCAGGAAGTTCACATGGAAGAGGCAAAACTCATTCCTCTAAAAACAATGACTTCTGATATTCTCAAGGTGAGATAACTACAGTGTGTCAGATTTCATTGCTTCCACCAAATCACAAAATGTAAATTCTCAAATCATGCTGGATTGATGATCATACATGATCATTAAGTTTGATACAAACCTGTTCAGGCAGCCCAAGTACTGCTGTCAGTAAAGTGAAAGAGGAACAAACTAAATGCTAATACATTCTGACATTCATGTTACTTATTTCACTCACATTGTTGTGCTAATTGTATTATTTGTAATTTGAAAAAATAAAGAATTTCCCTAGTGGACTTTAGGATACCACTGTGTCTGAAATCTTTAAAATAAGTATTTCAGAATCACAGGCAGGGCACCATATTCTCCTTTTTGGGTCAGAGCAACCATGCTGACCACACCAACAGAACACAGTGTTCTTGTAAAAGTAAAACAGGGATTAACAAGTTCATGTTGTTTTTTCCTATCCTGTAAACAGATGCAGCTCTATGTAGAAGAAATAACACAGAAAACTTGATGCTCTGCTAGTGGATCAAAAGCAGCTGCTGGGGTGTAACACAGGAAACAGGAACTGTTTTTTTTTTTTGTTAAGTGAAAACAGGCTTGTTTACATATTACGGTTTGGTAACATGAAGTATATTGAGCTGGACTGTGCATCTTTTTAAGTAAGTAAAATTAATGTTTATCAGAATATCTTGTGCCTCTATTTCATTTTTAGCACTTCATTGCTTAAGATCTGTCATTGTGCTGAAATTGTTGTGTTTTATTTGTTTTGTAATCTTTTGCTGCCTCTGCTTACCTCTGTCATTACTTCAGATGTCTGTTTACAAAGTGTTTATAGTGTGGTTGAGAGCACACAAAGTTTAAAAGATTAAATTTTTGAAACTGCTGTTACATTAGATTGAATTTATGACCGTTAGTCACTAACATGTTATTATGAAAGTTTCATACTGGTAATTACCTAACATAATAGAAATGCTGTGTACACATTATGTAAACAGTTATTATTTATGCAAGTATTGATAGATCCTTCAGGTTCTCAGGGAGACCGTTTGGCTGTGATTTATTAATTTTGGGTGAACTGTCCCTTTAAAAAAAACAAAGTGAAAGAAGGTTTTGTGTCTGTTTTCAGTGTAACTAGGTATTATTCTCGAAGGAACTGGGTAATTGTCTCTTCTCTTTAGTTTGTTGCTGTTACTGTCACTGCAACCATAATACAGATATGAGGTCTTGATGGCCCACTGCTGTAACGCATGGACAAGGGAAAGAGAAGCGGAGGATCCAAATGCAAAAAAATGTTGCAGAAAATGTTTATTTAACTGTCTTGATATTTACTTTGAAAGCTGAAGCTCGCGATTATGGTAAGGGGCGTTACATTTCCGACGCGTGCTTGTGGTGTTCGGCCAATCACAATGCACTGGGTCAGCTGGCGTTTTGTAAAAATCGACGCGTTTCAAAAAGGCGGGGCATAGAGGAGAAACAATAATGTACAGTATGTGGAAAATAATGTGTTTTTTTTACTTTAAACTGCATAAACACATTTCATTACACCAAATACACAAAATAATGTTCTTTTTAGCAGCATCATATGACCCCTTTAAGAAGAGATGGGTTGGTAGGGACAGGTATTAAATATATACTGCAAAGTGGGGTGATTAGACAAAGCAGGAAAAATATTTGTAATTTCTTAATTTGAACGGGTTTGATGAGGAAAATATGATTGTGGAAAACAAGCTGGAGGAAATAAAATGGAATAACATTGCAAGAGAATAATCCAAAAGATGGCAGTAATGCAACGCTCTTGGGTGCAAGCCGCCGTTAAACCTCAAAGAAGAAGAAGAAGAAGACTGCTTTGCGGGAAAGCGGAAGCTAGGTGACGTCACTGTGAAAAGGGCCTATTCCAACGAACCAGAAGAGAAGCAGTCGCGGGCGCGGCAGATTTGAACGTATACAACTGTATCGAATACATCACATCAGTAGGATTCGCTAAACTTCAGCAGCATTTCTTTGACACATGCAGTGCAGTTAGGCGAGCTCAAATCAGATACAAAACTGCTCGACCACTATTAATTTACAGTGAGAAATGGCAAGGGAAACATCAGGTAAATATTTCCAGACTTCCACTAGAAATCTCTTACAGCAAAGACGTAACCATGTCTTGGACATTCGCCTCATAAATGATTGAACATAAATTAAACTTTGTTTGATAAAGTACAAATAAATAAAACGGTGAAGGAAATTGTTGGTCTAATTCTAGGGAATCAATAATTTCGCGCGTTTTGGGAAGAAATCGCGTCGATGTAAACAGTTTTCAGTGGAAAGCATGAAAGTGATGACATATGGTTGCGGGTACAGAGATGAAACATTGTTTTAGAGCCCAACTGGTGATGCTGAGGACATGTTCAGTAAACAGTTTGTAGGTTCTGGCACAGTTTCTCTCTATTTTTTAAAAGCCATCTAACATGAATTTCTTTTTCAGCTTCATAAGAAAAAAAGAATGCAGTGTGATCTCCTCTGGACCAGTGATGATTCTTTTAGTTCCTTGACATGTACATATGTACCTTCATTCATCTGTCAACATTACTACCTCTCATTCTCACCATGAACATTGTGCTTTGTATGGCAACATGTAATAATGCAGAATATGAAATTAATGGAGAGTGTTGCCCAATGTGTGATCCAGGTATGTGTCATCCTTCACTCATTACCCCAACATATGAGGTCAGATTTAAAGAGGTCATATGAGATTTTTTTTTTAATCATTTGTCTCATGGTACCAGGCTTTGAACAGTCTCATCATTATTACTGATGAGCCTAATAACGAATATGCTCATAAAACAGTCTTTTAAGTTGTTAATAGTTTAAGCTGTTAATAGTGTAAATCGTCTGTTTGATTACGTCTTTAATTGATTTTTCCATACATTTCTGCCATATGTACATTAACTGACAGTCACCACTGATAAGCTACCACTAAATATTGTAGAAACTTAATTTGCTGTAAAGTTGCTTTGCAACGATTTGTATCGTGAAAAGCGCTATACAAATAAACTTGAATTGAATTTTAAGTTTGGACTGATGTGAATAAACATCAGCCACTTAGGTATTTCTTAGATATTTTTGGTGGGCTAGCAGCAGCAGCCAGATAGTAATAGTAATTATTCTTCCTTGCATAACTGGGCAGGCCAAGTTGTTGAAATCTATTTCTGTACATTTATATAGTGGTTTTATTTCGCAATGTCAAGGGGCATTTTATTTTTCATTATATGACCCATTTAAGTCACTTATTTGACAGATGTAGTATTAAGTGGTTCCCAACCATGTTTCAGGATACTTAAAAATGTTTATATTTCACACAATTGACATAAATATACAGACATACAATAAATGCAGCTTATATAATTACACAACTATATGTATTTATTGTTATTTTCAAAAGACATCTATAATAATTTGTTGGTAATGATTAATATTGTCTAGGAAAAAGAGTTAAGAACCATTGTGATGCGTACACAAGCACAACATGTGATTCATGTCCTGCGATGACCTACACTGATGTTCCTAATGGATTCACAAAATGTCTGGCATGTTTTGTCTGTGATTCAAGTGAGTAACCGTTTATTTTGTATCATGTCACCCCTTGATTTCAAATATATTGTAACACTTTTTTCCCCCCATATGACCTACAATTGACTCATTTGATTCCTTTCTTGTCAAAGGTAATGGGCTGAGAGAAAAGCGGGCATGTACGTTAATATCAGATACAGTTTGTGAACCTCTGCCAGGTTATTACTGTATAGACTTGCTCTCCAACTGTAAAACGGCCATGAAACATTCAACCTGCTCACCTCGACAATACATCAACCAAACCGGTCAGTCTGTCATCATTCAAACAGCTTTATTATACATCCACAAAAACTGACAGGCTCAGATGATATCTGAGATCAATAACTCTGCTTATGTTTATATGAAATAACTGTACATATCTCAGTTTGCATATTGTTCCAAAGCTGTAGATGTGGTTACCACAGATCCTCATGACAGACAGTGTTTGCTTGTGACTGACAGAACCTGACAAAACCACCCAAAAATCTACTTAACCCATTTAATCCCACCAGTCACAATAGTGACTGTAAAAAAGGTTTTCATTTATAAAGCTCTAAAAACCTTACTGACTGATGTTTTAGTGCACTTCCTGCAAATATGGAAAAAATAAAGGGTCTCAATGAAATATGTGCAGTTTCACATGCTTAGTGCAAATTGTCATGTGACCAAAGCAGTTTATTTCCTGTTTGCACCTTGAGAATATGATGGCTGCATCAAAGCTCCAAAACAAAAGGCTAGTAAAGTATGTCAACATAAAGATATGACAAAGATTTTTGGTACACATTATCTTTAAGGTGTCTAGTATTAATATATGAATTTGCATATATTCAGTTTTGTTGAGTGTGGTCATAGAATGAGTAAACATGTTGATGGTCACAATAGTGACAGGTGGGATAACAGTGAACTTTATATTTACAATATAAATCCAATTGCAGTTGCTAGAGAAAATTACACTAAAATGTTGCAGTGACAAAATATTGCACTAAATTAAAAATTCAAATGTTACAAAAAATTTACAATATTGATGTTGTAATACAGGTAGCACTAATATACAAATTTGAATTTTGAAATGCGTTGATGGTTGAATTGTTTTTATTTTTTTTATCTCCGTGTTCCTATCAATGTTGCATAAGGTTTTTTTATGCATAATAATAACCCTAGAATATGATCAAACAGTTTAAAATAGCTGGGCTTAGATATATAACAATTTTTATGACTGCAGAAATATGGTAATTCAGTTCTCACCTTATCCCACCAGTCACAATTGTGACCGACCATAAAACACAATTTTTCACACACTTTTCCAAAAAAATGTCAAAAAATAATTATTGATTATTTCAAAGGGTTACTAATGACACATCATTTGGATATTTTCATGTCTGGGAAAAATTTGGGATTAAACGGGTTTAGCAAATTATTAGTTGGTTATGTGATTATTCATTTTGTGTGTCAGATGCTATACTGAATAATTGAATAATTTCACTAGCTAATGTGAGACCAGTCACTGCCTTTGTTGGTCATGGAGTTGAAACTTAAGTACTAATACTGTGTATTCATGCTTGTGTTTGAATAGGAACAGAATTTAGTGATACAGTGTGTGATGACTGTCCTGATGGTTCATATTCAGATGGTACATTCTGCAAATTGCATACAAAGTAAGTTTCATTATTTTACAACATTGACTTTCCACACATTCTTAATGCATTTTGTATATTTGTTGTTTTATAATTTGCTTCACTAGATTTTGTGAGTAAATTTAGCTCTTTTCTCACAAGCAATATAGTCCTCTATTTGTAGTTCAACCTGTGCACCACTTTTTAACAGCTGTGAATCTCTTGGAAAAACAACAGTCAAAGCAGGAACTGAGACGTCTGATGTTGAATGCAGTAAAGGAACACCTTATTTATGGATTGTGATTCCATCTATGTGCGGAGTATTTGTGGTGCTTGTCATAATTGCAATTGTTATAAAGAGAAAAGATAAGCATTACATTGGAGCAAGTCAAGTTACTCCTCCCCAAGATTTGGATCTGTACACCCAAGCAGTTTCCCCCAACACAGTGTAAAAAGACTGACATGTTCATAAACCAACAATTAAGGTGATCTGCTTGTGGTCACTGACAATTTCTTATATGTCTGTTGTTTGTAAGTGTACAGCGCATTGTAGTGCCATCCCAAAGGCACAAAATCACTTTTACAGACTTTTAGGCTAACTGTTCCCTGCTGGTGGAATGACCTGCCCAACTTGATCCGAGCAGGTGATTCTTGAGCATCTTTTTCATCAACACTTGACCCTCTAACACTAGCACTCTATTCTATTTCTATTCTAATTGTTTTCTTTTTATTTATTATAAAAAGAAAATCTTGACCCTCAATTACTAGGCCTAGTTCTCTCTATTTTATTTCTGTTCTACTTTTTATTATTTTCATTTATTATAAAAAAATAAATAAACTTGCTACTGTGTAGACTGAAGCTGTTTCAAACCGCTTACATGATGTGAGCTGCTCTCTGGATCAGCGGCTGCGCGAAAGTAGGTTTAAATATTCCGGTGTGATTGTACATTTCTTTATGTACAGCCACACACATATACATATATATAAATACATTAAATATATATATATATTAAAAACGGTTGTGCTACTTTTTTTCAAGCTCAAAAGAAAAGCATTTTTATGAACAGATTTTTTTGTAAAAATGTTTTTATTGCCATTTTGATTAATTTAATTAAACCTTGCTGAATAAATGTAGGCTGTTCATTTCTTTAAATCAGTCTTACTGACGTAAGCAGCATTCTGAGCAGTTGTGTACGCATCGTGAGCCAAGCTGATCAGAGACCAGTGGTGGAAAGGTGTTTTTTTAATTTTTTTTTAGATTTGCTTATGCTTGTGCTTTTGGTTAATAGCCCTTGAGCAAGCGCTGACTGTGAGCGAAGCGTCAGCAACGAACACCCTGTAATTGATTGGTTCTGTCTTGAGCAATTGCTTATATGTTCAGATGAGCAGGAGGAATAGTTATACACAATTATTCGCTAATAACAATAACTTCTTTTAAAAATCACCTTAAGATCGATATTTTTTCCATCCTTTCGAAACATATGGATACTTCAGGATCGACCCGCCCAACTCTGAAAAGCCTTATTTAGGCTAAACAATACTTTAACTTTTTTTAGGCTATACTTCTACTTTTTGAAATGTCTGTGACCAATGTTTTGTGAAAGAAAAAGAAGTGATATTCGCCCTATATCAAGTGGTAAGTGGTTTTAAAGTTTTATTTGTGAGGAAAACTCGTGACCTGCTCACGAGACTTATTTAAAAATGTCCGAATTTTGAAGGCGGTTGACAAATAACGACCAATATAGCCTAAGCTATACCCGTCTCCCGTTTTCTCTTTAAATTACTATGATAATATTATTATTATTATGATCGTGTTATTTCTTTATTTCATTCATTTTGATTGATTTGTAAAGTGATTTTTATCCATCTGCTCCACAGCGGAGTTGTTTCCTGTTAATCCAATTTAGTATAGTTTTTATTAAGTAAACTATTATATTTTACCGACTGTTTTTCATAACAAATGGGTGTTTCTTCAACTCTGTGCACTTCCCAGAAATCGATTTGTATCGAAATGAATATATTTCAGTTTTTTTGCCTTTTATGCATAACTTTTATTAATTTACCTTTGTCTCATATTTATTACTTTATTACATTTATTACGTTATTGATTTTCTCGAGCTCAAACATCCAACTACACCCTTAACAGGTAGGCTACTTTAAAATGCCCATGAATTTTAACTTTAAAATTGTAACTGGTTTCCTACCAATTGTGTACGTTTTAACTTTTCTTTTTTTTTTTTTTACAGAACATGCATGATCAGCTCTGACCAGCTTAGTTGAGGATAGTTCTCTCCTCTTCTACACTAATAAGCAAGTAAGTGACAAGCATTTATGATCCATATTGTTATCAAGTTTTCAATTGTGCATAAACATGCCCAGTCACATACACATTAAAGCTATACCATTACTTTTAATCACCTTTTCATTCTAATATTGTAAAGGGCTCATAAACTTTATTGCTTTTACTTACACGAATGAGTTTAGATGGTGGGTGTCTTTCATTTGTTTATTTCTACACAGCCAGATGCTGTCACATCCCACAACCTCATCATCTGCAGAGAGAACTGCCATTCAGTTACACCAAAATGCATAATGATGGACGTAAAAACAGTCACAACATTACACTTTAACTTGGCCTTCATTACATTTATTTTGTGTTTCTGTTTGGATTTATTTCTTTATGTATTTTTTTATGCTCAGGGTCAGTAATAATTTATATTTCCTTATGATGCATAGTCATTGTTAGTAAACAAATAAGTAAACCTGTGAGAGTGTGAAACATGTCCTTGGTTGAAGAAACACCATAAAAAATGAAATTTACAGTAAAATTGGCAGTTGTCAGAACTTTACTGTAAAATATGTTAGCAAAATTGTAAGTTTTACAAACTTAAATATTCAGTCAAAAACATATTTTATTAACTGAAATGATGTTCATATACCAAATTAAAATCTGTCACAAAAATACAAAACGGCATCATGATTACTCGCGTCACTAAAATAATTTCAGTTGACATTAATTTAACATAAGATGTAACATAAAACTATAATATACTTAACTGATAAGAAAAAACTAAGAAGCAGTATTTTACTGTAAAATTACACGAAATGCCCATTAGATCTATTACAGTTTTTCACCACAGAGTAAGGAAACTTACCGTTAAACAATTAAAAAGGGTTTTTCCACCCTAAAATAACCATCATTTTCTATAGTGTATGAACAAGGAGGTTTACAATGAGCTAATCCTTTTTCTGCCTTTTCTGTTTCAGTTTGTTTTCCAAAGAATGCATATGTCTGCAAGAAGCCTGTGGAAACACGACCTGTACAAGAACTGAGTCTTGAAGAATCTTGAACTACTGTTGCCTTGTCTCTCAGTTTTCTACGAAAATCCCTCCATACTGTTTACTGTTAAGGCACACATCAACCAACATCACAGCATGTGAAGCGTCTGAAGATTGTGCTGAACAGCACTGTAATGTTACATTAACTAAGTAGCTCTAGACTGTGACCATGTTCGCTTTAAAGATTATTATTCTTATTACACTTATTGTTCCTCTTAATTATGATCTTTGTTCATGTCAATGTGCTCGTGCTGAATATAAGATAGACAAGCAATGCTGCCCAATGTGTGCCCCTGGTAAGACTGCAAGTTATAGCATATATTGTCTTTATATGTTTATTTACTGTTACAGTATTAGAAATTTGTTCAAATATATTATTTCCGTAGTGAAAGTAATCTGCTTTATTCTGCCATAAAGCATTTGTTTGTTGAAAAGAAATGAAATATATACAAATTATAGAGGGTTTTTCTTTTACTTAAGACATTTCTAATACTTTTCTAATACTTACATTTTCAAAATTGTAAAAATCAAGAACCAATTTTGTGTGCTGCCTATTAAGGAAACAGTGTTCGTTGGCACTGCACAGATGACACCAGCACAACTTGTGTTCCATGCCCTCCATTAACTTTTCTTGATGAACCAAATGGCCTCATGGAATGCTTTCCCTGTACTGTATGTGATGCAAGTGAGTGTTTCCACTTTATATATGTTCATCTGAAAATTTTAAATTGTTGGTGAAAAATCATGTCTGTTAATTCAAGTGATTAAAGATCTGAAGAGTTGCAAGCTTCTTGCTCCAGGAAACTGTCCCTGAAAAGAATATAGTGTACACTCTTAAAAAATAAAGGTGCTTAAAAGGTTCTTCACAGCGATGCCATGGAAGAACCATTTTTGGTTCCACAAAGAACCATTCAGTCAAAGGTTCTTTAAAGAACCGTCTCTTTCTTAACTTTTTATAATCTGAAGAACCTTCTTTCTCAAAGAACCTTTTGTGAAACAGAAAGGTTCTTCAGAAAAGGTTCTTTCTGGAACCATTTAGACAAAAAGGTTCTTCTATGGCATCGTGAAGCACCTTTATTTTTTAGAGTACGCTTCAGATGCAACTGCGAAGGTGTCTTCTAAAAGACAAGTAACTTTACATATTTTTCATCCTAGACCGAGGTTTAAGACTGAGTGAAGTATGCACTCGGTCATCAGATGCTGTTTGTGGGCCACTGGAGAGATTCTACTGCACTGAAAAAGAGAAAGGCAGCTGCACTTTAGCTGTGCAACATTCTAAATGTAACCCTGGACAATATATCAAACAAGCAGGTAAATGATAAAAAAAAAATCATATAAATCATATTATATTAACATACAGTAAACATTGTTTATTGTGCTGCATGAATTGTAATAGAAGGAAGAGGTATATATACATTGTTTATAGACAAATATAACAGTGACAGTTTAATTTTAACCTTATGCTGACTGTCTCTGCAGGTACTGGTTCCACAGATACTGTATGTGCTGACTGTACAGATGACTCATATTCAAACGGATCTTTCTCATCCTGTTTACCACATACAAAGTAAGTGCACACTTATGCTGTTTATGTGTGCTGTTGATCATTTTTCAACAAATCTGATCCTGGATATTATTCACAGATGTGAGGCCATGGGACTTGCTGAAACAAATCCAGGAACACATTCATCAGACTCAGAATGTGGAAATCCCCCTACTGCTGTAGCAATCATTGCCTCTAGTGTTATAGTTACTTTAATATTAATTACAGTAGTAAGTGTTTTAATATTTAAACACATTCGGAAGAAGAAACTGTCTAAAAGTTCAGGTAAGCTTTATTCAGTTATTTTTGTAGTATGAGATCTATAGTTGTTGTTTTTTCTATAAGGGAATTTTCTAAGAAAATTCAACAATCATTTGAGGCTGGGACACTTTGAATCATTGCTGCACTAAATGATGGTGATGTAGAGAAGATTACACCTATTTTTGCTGATTTGGTGCTCAAGAAACATTTTTTCTTATTATCAATGTAGATAACAGTTGTGCTCAGAGGCGTCAGGCCCTTTCAAAGTGAGAGGGCACGTGCCCCCTCAGAGTTTTGAGCCAAGTGGATTTTGAATGTAGATTCCAAAAGACAAAAAATAGCCGAATAATATTTTCTATATTTGATACAATCACACCAGCATGATTAAATCTTCAGCGCATCATATCATCATCAGCTGCTAAATTCAAATCTGCGTTTGCTGGCTGGCGCTGAGCCAGAGACAGACGCGTCGTCGCGTTTTTACAGCACTGCGCATTATAACCAATCACACACGATGCTGTTGAGCTTATGAATGCAATGACCAATCAGAGGCGTTCAGATGAGACATCGCTAAAATGCCGGTGTTTTGTTCACTGGCTTGCTGACGGAATACCTCTTTCTGGCGAATTCTTTCGTTAGAAACAACAAACTGCAGATGTGTGTATGAATCTGTAAATAAGATATTCATTTCACAGTGTAAACAGCTTCAGTGATTTTAATGGGAGTTTTTGAGAGTGCTTGATAATGTAGAAATGTTCTTTGCTCTTTCAGTACAATGAAAGTGTTATGATAAGTAGCCTAACTTACAATGTTTTTATTCACATTAACTTTCAATGTTAAATTCACATTAAATATAAAGTCAGTCGTATTAAAAATATGTTATGGCATGACACCCATATCTGTTAATTAAGTAAACAGACAGGTTTTTAATATGTATAATTAATAGACTACATTATTAGGCTACTTTGACCATCGCTCACTATAGATCAACTAACATAATCTATAAAGGTGAGAATCGAGATATTTCATGATATAGTTAATGCGTTTGGGAATGTTTCGAATAAAAAGGAAAAATAAAACAGGAGTGCTATTGTGGCTGCTGTGTGTCACGTGACGACTCGTGCCCCCTCAAAAATAATGAGTGCATGATGCCCCTGGTTGTGCTGCTTAATATTTTTGTGGAAACTGTGATAACGTAGCATTCAGAGATTTGGGGCAAGTAAGATTAAAAAAGAAATATTTATTTTTCAAATAAATTCTGTTCATTGAAATTTCTATACATCAAAGTAACGTGAAATAAATTACATCAGGGTTTCCACAAAAATATTCAGCAGCAAAAACCATTTTTAACCATGATAATAATAACTATTATTAATATCATATTAGAATTATATTAGAATGATTTATGAAGGATTCATAAAAGAAATCCAGCTTTGCCATCACATGTATACTATTTTAAAATAAATTAAAATATAAAACAGTTCTTTTCAATTGTAATAATATTTTACAGTATTAATGTTTTTACAGTATTTTTGAGCAAATACATCTTTGGTGAGCATAAAAGATGTATTTGAAAAACATTGTTAAATACATTAATACTTGTACTATTCTCTCTCTTCTTTTCATACAGGGTTGCAGATATATTAAACTTTTTCTTCACATGAAATAGAAGGTAAAAAATATTTACTATGTCTTAAAAATGTGTGTTTGGTTTTGTTCAAAAGGAAACAGGAAATGGTTTACATGAAAAACACAGTTCAAAAGGTAAGAATAAAGTATATCATAGACAGACATACAAGACACAGTTATTCAGCTTATATACATGATGAGAAACTTCAATTACATAATATAAGATTTTAATTATGTGAATTACAGAATTTTTTGGTCTCCTATGGTTTGACTGTGTAAAAATAATGAAAACTTTCCTTGTGCTTTTGTAAGCTGAAAAGAAATGCTTCATTGTTTTTTTCAGTTGTTGGCTGCAGGATAAATGTTGAATCATTTGGAATAGAAGAACAAGTCCTAAGAACCTAGGGCTTGACTACAGTTTCTAAACTACTCGCATATTTCACCACATTCATTGAAAGAGTTATCATGCCTGGAATTTATCGGGTTGAGCCACAGAAAGTGATTACTAATCCTCTTACATTTACATTTATGCAAATAAACAGCCATTTAATTAACAGACTAGAATAATCATGGCTGATAGACACTGTGCAAACTTAAAAGAAACCCAAACTGATCTCAAGAGCAGCTGTTACTTCTTGCCCAACTTTTAACTACATTAAAGGGAAATAATCGTGAAATGTTTCTCAAATGTTTGTTATTATTTTAATATTGTTTGTGATTTAGTCTTAGTGACTTAGGAGTCCTCTTGTTTTAGCTGCATGGTTTTAGTGCTAAAATGTTTTGTGAAATTCTCTTTTTAACTAAAAACAGTTAACATTATTGAGTTTAGTAGCTACTTTTAGCCTTGATGTTTTGTGAATATGCGGCCCCAGTTCATTCTGATATATTAGGACATTTTGTCATGTGTACATTATGTGCCATGTAATTCTGGTGGGCACAGAATCCTGGGAACATAGAAATGACTCTGACCCGATGGACAATGATTAGCTTACACTACAGATACAAAAAAGACTCCACATACACATCAGTCATTGTTTGATGTTTTTTTTTCCCTCCAGCTGAAACAATGACATCTTTTTCCTTCTGTTCTGTTCTGTTTTGTTCTGTTCTGTTCTGTTTTGTTCTGTTCTGTTCTGTTCTGTGCCAGTATCAAGTCATGCCCAACAGTTTGAATGCGTCATGAAAAACACAAAACATAAAAAAAAATCTAACAAATCAAAAGCTCCACATACTTAATTTATACATTTGTGTAATAAAATATATAAAATAAATATTCAATCTTTATTTAAAAGGGTCAAGAAAATGATGTTGTGTCCTACTATTTGAACATGGCTTACTTTTGGGAAATGTGCTATATAAATTATATACATTATGGTAAATAAGTTTCAGCATAAACTGGATTTTTTTTTTTTTGTAAAACAAATTTATGCCGTCATGTTTTTAGACTAGTTACCTCAAGTTTGTCAAATTAAACTAAGCAGTGTTTGAAGAGCTGAAGCATGTTTAAAGATTGAAAGTAGATCAAGCTCAAGCTCACTTTATTACAGCCACTGAATAAGTGTAATAATATCTTAATGGGATACTTTGTATCCACTGTGCAAAGAATCCCACACAACCAGTCACTTTTAAGTCACAAGTTTGTCTCATGCTTTATTCATTACTGTTGCCTCCCCGCTCAATAGATTGGTCTGCAGCGGAGAGAAACATCTCATTCCTTTAAAGTAAGTGCTTTTCTTATGCTCTCGTGTTGGTAAATGGATTTAATGATTTAATGTATTCACTGCTTGTCAAGTTGATTGGGTAATGCCAAATATATATTTTGGGAATCTGGAGAAGAAAGAAATTATGTTCTTGTCAAAGCAGTTGCTTTTTAAATTACTTTATTTAAAATACTACATTTTTAGATTAACATTAACTCAGATTAATAAATGCTGTAGAAGTATTGTTAATTGTTAGTTCATGTAGTTATGTAGTTACTTATGTAGTTAACTGATGTTAATAAATGAAACCTCGACTAATAAATTTTTGAAAGCATGTGAATACTAAAAGTCATGTGTTTACATGAAAAATTACATTAGACAATATTCAATAATTGATTCAAAACTTTTTGGTTGTGGGTGACATACCTACCAACAATTTGTTACTTAAATCTGTGCTACTTTTGTGTCCTTTACTGATTTTTTCCCCACTCCACAGAAAATGAAATCCATCAGAAAACGATGATCAGAACCTGCTAAATTCAACACACAGAAGTGCTTCTGAAGTCTGATGGGAAGACTAAATCCACTACCAGCTCTTTGCACAGACATACTGAGCTGACCCATTTTACATCTTTATGAAAATGCAGATTTTGTTGATTATTTTATACATTGTTTCTATTGCCTTTCTATACTTAGAACTAGCTTATTGTGTCTGTGCCCGTGCTGAATATGAGATAAACGGACATTGCTGCCCTATGTGTGCACCTGGTTAGTAAAGAAGAAAATAATTTTAGTTTTTAAGTCCAATAGGTAGTACTGTTTACAAGGAGAATTGCAAGATGTCTTGACGTAGGACTTTCATAGAAAGGTTTCTAATATCCTATATACTTTTTAAAGGTAACCGTGTTTTATGGCATTGCACAGTGGATACCAGCACAACTTGTGCACCCTGTAATACATCCACATACACTGATGAGTCTAATGGCCTTGAAATATGCTTTCCCTGCTCAGCCTGTGATGCAGGTGAGTGTTTCACATTTATTCTTTTAGCAGAGAGTTAAGGTTACGCAAAAGTATACAATCATTTAGCATGTTTCAATCTTCAATAATAAACAACTGCTTTGTTTCAATATATTTAGGTTTAAGGATACAGAAGGCCTGTACACGGTTATCAGATACAGTTTGTGAGCCATTAGAAGGATTCTTCTGTATGGTCCAAGAAAAAGGCAGCTGTAGATTAGCTGTTAAACATTCTCAATGTAAACCTGGAGAATACATCCAACAAAGAGGTACAGATTTCACATTTTCTGTGTAAATATTACTAAAGTGAGTGCACAAATCATTGGCAAATACTACTCACAAGTTACTTGCATATTAGAATAGGCAGATACGAATACAAAATACTTACTAAACTAGACCTTATTTAATATATTTCATAATGCTATACACAGCTTTATTGTGATGCAAATTCTACAGCTATAGCTGCATGACTGTATCTGCAGAAATAGTATAAAACAATGCTCTCCAATATTTTGAATTTGGACTGCAGTACCGATTTCAACCGCTAGCTGTCAATATTACATACTGCACCTTTAACTATTAACTAATGTTTAAAAAAATTAAATCTTATTATTAAATGTTACAGAATTTATAATAACAGATCCGACGTGTGTACTGTTTACAGTACTCGAATAATGTTAAATGCTAAACGACATTTAATACTTAGTGTGACAATCCCTGTAGTGTTAATCTAATGAAACAGTTAAGGAACTCAGTGTCTTAATATCTTTACAGGAACCGCAAACACTGATACTGTATGTGGTGAATGCATTAATGGCACCTACTCTGTTGGCACTTTCACAGCTTGTCAGCCACATACATTGTGAGTAGTCAAAGTTTTACATTAAATTCCCATTCTAATACGTTTGGACGTGCTAACATCACACGGTTACATGTCTACAGATGTCAGAGTATGGGACGTAAACAACTAAAAATGGGAACAACGTCATCTGATGCTAGATGTGAACACACTCCAAATGGTCTTGTTGTTGGAATCATAGCTACTGTTGCGGTCGTTGTTGTTGTAGTTATTGGAGTCTCAGTAACCCAGTATGTCATATTCAAGCACAAGTCAAAGGCTCGTCCAGGGATAAGGTAAGGCTTTGACAATTTTCCCCCATCATAATGTACTTTACATTTGTCTGATTAATGGGATTTTTATATTTCAGGTCTGTCCAGGTCCGAAATGTTGGTGGAGGGCTTTTAAAGTGCTTCTACACATAATCCATGGACTTGATGTTACTTATTACATTTCAAACAGTCAAAGCTGAAACAAAAAGAGAACTCTAAAAAGAAACAGAAATATTGGTTTCTTAAGGTAGACCAGCTAGTTACTGAGAGAGAGAACACTACATACATGTGTTCTCTTGTTATATATAACATAAAATGATGTATTATTCTTAACCCTTTTTATTAAAAAAACTGAAATGGATAATGGATGCACTCACTATTGATTACCATGGTAAAGTTCATGAATCATTCATCAGAAATTTTGACATTAATCTCTGCCTCGTACCTGCAGTTACTTGCATACGTTGAAATTAGTACACAGTATAACACAATATACTATATTTGTGAATCATTTTTGTGACATGACACATATTTGTAAATATATTAAATGTAAGCCCCCCTACCCCCAATTTAATGTCTGAATCTCTGAATTTCTGACAGTTCATATGTATATACTTTGAATAAATAATCTGTAAATTCTAGTAGTATCTACTATACTGACAAGCTATTTGCTTCATAATACTGTACATCACACATTTAAGAAACATTAATAACCCATGATACTTCTCTTTCAGACATGTTTTGTACCAACATTCAGAAAGTTTCATGGTTGAAGTTCACTGCAAAAATAACTAATAAAAGCCTTAACTAGCAAATATCATGGCATCACAATGTTATTCACAGTAAATATCTGTACTTTGTGCCAAGTAAAATCTGATCACTGTGATTTCCCCCTCACAACAGAGTATCCTGTATGAATCGGCAATATATCTTACAGACGTTCACAGTATTCCTGTACAGACATTATGAAAACTAATTCCGTTCGAATATGGCTAAACTTGATACCTGCAAGACTTCAGGGGAATTCCATGTAGGTCTCGCTGAAGCATGAAGACGTCCAAATAGGAGAAGCTTAGTCTGCAAGTAGACGAAGACCTTCAAGTTGGTGAGGTTAAGTATGGAACTTCTATGCCTGGGATTTTCAAACCTGTCCTGGAGGCCCCACAGCAGGGCACATTTTGTATGTCTGCCTTATATGAGTTCAGGTCTTGCAATCTCTAATAATGAGCTGATGGGTTGAATCAGGTGTGTTAGATGAGGGAGACATACAAAATGTGCAGTGCTGTGGGCCTTCAGGACAGGTTTGAAAACCCCTTTTAAGCTAGAAGGTGTGTTGGGTTTCTGTATGCATGGAATACCCAAATACTATATTTGCCAGAATCTGCTAAATATAACTCAAGTACACTGAAATCGGTACGGAAGCTGTGTTCGGAATGGCATACTACCATATAACTCCTACTCTATTGCAGTATGCAATGTGTATACTGTGAATAGTATGTTAATTTTCTTTATGGATGGAATTCCCAGATTACCTACTACATTTATTGAAATCTGATGTATGCATCTGAGGACACTGTATGGAATACTGTTTCCTACAATGCAACACGCTCCATGTGACATTCCATCTTAAAATGTGTGTGTCAACTGGAGGCGGGGGAATAGTAATTATAAATGTAACGCATATATATATACACACACACACACACACACACACATATATATATATAGTGACATCTGGTGGTGGATGAGGTATGCCGTCAAGAGGAAGCAACTAGATAAGCCAGAGCAGTCTCTCAAACCCAACAAGGCCGCTGGATGAGGTGGGAAGGTATAGAATGGCGTAAAATCACTTGGAGTGAGCTGTGGAGCATGGAAACCAACAGGCTTAAGTTTTATCGTGAGAGCCACATATGATGTAGTAAGTGCGAGTGGCTACGTCACATATGTTCCCGCCCTCACCGTCACGGCACAAAAACACTAATAAAACTTAGTTTTGGAAAAATACTTTGTATTACAAATATTTATATTATTTTGCTTTCTATTAATGCAATTCAATGAATCACAGTCATCTAGTCTCCCAGTCGCTTAAATTATTGGCAGTTTAGCATTTAGTACGTAATTTACACCAAAACAAAAGAGCTATCCTTTCATGTCCGAAAACATTATTTTTGTCTTACATTGCATAACAAATTCAGACAAGCTCAGTACCAAGCGGCAACTTTCCGGTCTCTCTCTTGAAACCAACACGGAGTGACTAAAACTGCAATTCATCGACTGGCCGCTAGAGGCTCCAAAAGGGAGTCAGTCCCATAGACCTCTTATGTTAAACCCATAGACTGTATAAAAACATGGACGTAGTGTCCGTGGGATTCTGAGGACGAAATAGTTTTCTTTGTGGCAGGCGGCTTGTGACGTCCAAAAAAACGAAGACAAAGGACATGGCAAAGAGAATGGCTGAAAAGCAGAGAAAAGCATGGATTTTCTGTTCTTCATAAAGAACTCGAGGGAGTAGGCCATTTCTGAATTTCTGCTCGTTTTGCCGGAAATACAACAGGCATATTCATTCATAAAGCTGAACGGCAAATTTGGCACATTCGGAATAACAAATAAAAAATAGAACTGTATAATTAAACTAAAATTATTATAGACTATATGGTTTTTGTCATCTTCTGATTGGTCAACTTCAGATGGATCGCCAAATCCTCTCGTTCAACTGCACATACGCCACGAATTTAAACCGACAGCACCCGATTTTTTTTGACGTTTGAAAATTATCGGGAGGACAGGAGGTGCTCCTAACGTCTCCGATCGGCCCGTAATTCTTCTCACACGGTA